AGACTTTAAAAAAAAAAAAAAAAAAATCTCACCAACCCCAAACTTTTGAACAGTACTAGTGTATAGTGTTTGGTTCATGTCCATTAGCTACTATAATGTTTAATGCATCAATGAAGGAATGTTATTATACTTGTAAATCTTTACTGTAATATGATATAATTCGATTTATTATAACATGCACTGATGAGGCATGACAATACGAAGCAAATGTGTTCGGTGTTGACTTTAAGCATTACCAGTTCTGACTTTTGTGGGATTATGCACAACACAGCAAACAGCATATTCCCACCGCTGCATAATGTTATATAACACTGGTGATTTCCTTAAAGAGCCTGTGTGTGTGACTCCCAGAGAGGGCCGAATGCCAGTGTTGGGTGCCAGGTGTGTGTCGAGCCGCTGGTATTTTAGTGGCATTTACCAGCAGCTTCAGCGGGCAGCTGTTCTTTAGACGTGCGCTTGAAGATTACACAGGGAAACAGAAAGTAAGCAGAAAAGGAGAAACTGCAGAGTCGGCATAAACCAGTGGAGAGAGTCTGCTGGACGCAGATGTTTGCCTGGACGTCGCATGTGCAGTACAAGCGCTCAGACAAACACACGGCACACTTAATACAGAGGCAAATACATCATGCAACAATACAAATTGTCTCATTTGCTTCATAATGTTGGTCCAGACCTGGAATTGGATACTGTTAACCAAAGCTAAAATCATAAAAACTATGAAAAATAAATATTGTTACTTGAAATAAAAATATCGTTAACTGAACAATATATATTAGGGCTGTGCAAAAGTTAATTGCGATTAATCACATCCAAAATAAAAGTCTGTGTTACATAATATATTTGTGTGTGCTGTATATAATTATATTCTGTATATATAAATACCTATGCATGCATGTATATATTTAAGAATTATTTGCACTTAAATTACATAATCTATATTTTATAAATATTTTATATATGATAACACATTTTCTTAAATATATACATGCATGTGTGTGTATTTTATATACAAAAATAATTATATACAGCACACACAAATATATTATGTAAACACAGACTTTTATTTTGGATGCGATTAATCGCAATTATTTTTTACACAGCCCTAATATATATTATTATTATTTATAATATAAATATATATATATATATATATATATATATATATTATTTATTTATATAATATAAATATAATATAATATATGTATAATAATATAATATTTTAATATATTTATTATAATTATTTAAAATTAATAAAACTAAGACATACTTAAAAAAAGTCTAAAACGTTAGTAATAAAAAAAAACCCATTCAAAATGCAATAAAATTTGTATTATCTCAATCATACTAAATTAACACTCGTCAAAACCAGGATTATTATCATCAACTAAAACTATTACCATTAAAAGGACATTTTCGTTACTTGAAATAAAAATAAACTTAAATTTATTTTTTCACATAGAAACATTTCTCATTTTTATATAGTTGACTAAAATAGCTAAAACTGAAAAAAAAAATAAAAACTAATGACGTTTTTTTTTAAAATGGCAAAAACAGAACTGAATGATAACAGAAAACATAAAAGTCAAAACCTTAATATTAAAATGATGCTAAATGAAAACGGTTAACAAACTCGAATGACTGTCTTTCTTTCTAACATGCTCATCAGATATAAACACCGCTGCTTTTCTGTCACAAGCTCGTCTCCGTCTTCGTAATACTGACAGAATGAACAGATGAAGGTCTGGAGAAGTCATCCTCACCCTGTGTGTGTGTGTGTGTGTGTGTGTGTGTGTGTGTGTGCTTTCCTAACACTCTGCTTCTTCTGTTGAAAGGCATTTGAAGACATCTACATTGAACAGAGGAAAGTGGTCAAAGTGGTGCTTGAGTACGCAGACAAGATCTTCACCTACATCTTCATCTTAGAGATGAGTCTGAAGTGGATCGCCTACGGTTTCAAGAAATACTTCACCAACTACTGGTGCTGGCTGGACTTCCTCATCGTGGACGTAAGTGCTTTTCCCAGTGTCTAACAGCAGCCGTAGTGCTTTACTATCAAACATTTAAGATCTCAGGAAGATTCAATGGGGAGAATAACTTTTATGTTATATAATAATCAAATACATGCGTGAGTGTTATCAAAAGATCGTTTATAATAATTGTCTTATTGTTTTGCTGTTGTTCAGTGATACGGTGCTGTTTGTTTTGGTCCTGTATTTCAGTTCATCACAATCTCATTAGTGTCATTAGTAGACATATTTGGCTTGGCTGATTCGATGTCAATTTATGCACAACTTTTAAAACAAAGTGTTCAGGTTCAAATATTGAATGCATATAGGTTAATTTTAATATTGAGTGCTTTTAAAGTGTTGCACATTAAAGTAATACAAAAAATCGATAATTTGTTGTTCCCTTTGAAAGAGTTAGTCCAAAAAAATATTTTAATGTTTATTGAATCATTGTCAAAATGTAAAAAATATGGGGGTTAATTCAGGATAATTGCATTATCATTATTCCAGTTTTCTAAGTTGCATTTCTATATTTGTGGTAGAGAATTCCTTGTCTATTCAATTACTGTGACCAAAGAGCCAAAACAAGCACAGCTGCATCACCGTTCAGATACTGCACTGTAATTCACTGTTTCATAGTGAACAATCTTTATACTGTGCTTTTATAAATATGGATTTGAGTTTTATATATGTGGTTTAAGGGCTGTGAATTTGAAACTAAAGGTAAAGAGTGTAATTATTTTTGATGTTAAAATAATTTCTCATATCTGTTTGGTGATGTAAGAGTTGGAGAAATAACACACTTCACCTTACTTGAAATGTATAAAATGTGCTTAAAATGTATATTTTTAGAACAGAAAGAATTTAAAAAATTGAGTTGCAAGTTTTCGTAATTATGCATTATATACTGTAAGTAAATATGCATACAATTCCAGAACAAATATCTGAACATTGGATAAAATTTCATTTGATTTGGTTGACATATTAGAGTTAATGTTTTTTACTGAGGGGCTTTTTCGATTTCTCTTTTTATCACTCCATAAATCAGAAAAAAAAACTAATTTTCCCAAAAAAAAAAAAAAAAAAAGTTTTTAAAAAAAGTACTTAATTTTCACCATACTTTCAGGAATAAAAAATTAGGCAAATGATATATAAACAAACCCCTCAGTAAAAACCTTCAGAATATAGAGAGGAATAAAACTGTAAATTTTGGTGAATATAAGTGTTTCTGAAGTGAAGGAAAAACTCATTTTGGGAAACGGCCTTTAAATATATGAACTGAAATTGAAATCTGCAGACACAAATAGATAAATAACAATAAAATAAACACTTAAAAGTACATTTTGGATGTCTTTCCACTAATCTGAAACAACACATTGTGAAAAGTCAAATAGCCCCAAATCTCACAATTGACTTGTTTTAAAAAATTATTTAATTTATATTATATATGTATATATGTTTTAGACACAAGTCATTTTAATGCCGTTTAAATGTGTCCTATTAGAATAATATGAAAAAAATAAAATAAAAAATAGGTAAAGTACATTCAAAGCCACTAAATGCACATTAAAATGCATTTACTTTGACATTGAAATATTTTTTTTTTTACATTTAATTTGTAGTGAACATAATGTTTTAGGTTTTAATATTTGGAATATATTAAATAAAGTGCATTCAAAACTGGCAAATGCACATGAAATGCATTTACACTGGCATTGAAATTTCCATTTGATTAATATGAATAATAGGAAATTCATGAGAAACTCTAAACAAACTATAATTCATGAAATGCATTTACTTTGACATTTTAATTTGTAGTGAATATCATACTTTAGGTTCAATATATTTGATGTATTGTAAATTAATAGTGAAAGGTTCTTAGAAGATTTTATCATATTTGAATATGAAATATATACAATTTTAATGTTTTGAAAATCACAAGTGCATTCAAAACTGCTAAATGCACATTTAATGCATTTACATTGAAATTCCCATTGGATTAATATGAATAATATGAAATTCATGAGAAACTCTAAACATTGACTCATTTACTTTGACATTGAAATATTTTTTACATTTAATTTGTAGTGAATATCATATTTTAGGTTCAAAATATTTGATGTATTGTAAATTAATAGTGAAAGGTTCTTATCATATTTGAATATGAAATGTATACAATTTTAATGTTTTGAAAATCACAAGTGCATTCAAAACTGCTAAATGCACATTTACATTGGCATTGAAATTCCCATTGGATTAATATGAATAATATGAAATTCATGAGAAACTCTAACTAAACGAATTCAATTCATACAGGTTTCAGTGATTGGTCTGGTGGCAAGTGCGTTCAATTATGACCAAATGGGAACCATGCGTGTTCTCCGGACTCTCCGGGCGCTCCGGCCTCTCCGCGCCGTCTCTCGCTTTGCTGGGATGAGGGTAAGACCCGCTCCGAACGGGCCCGAGTCTGAGTGTGCTCACTAGACGGCTCAAAGATGCCCACTAAACTGCCCTTCAGTCCTTAACAGGTCAAAGAGTCGGGAGAACACATTGACGACATTTATCACTGGCAGATCCGGCTTTGATCGCTGGAACTGGGTTTCCAAGAAAACGAATCCCGATTAATCCTGATTTTTCCTCGCAGCACAGAGCAGAAGCGTGTGTTTTCCTTCCTCAGGACTGTCGCAGGTGTGTTTTATTAACGCTGCATTTGTATCTTCTCTTTGTCCTCGGCTCTGTGTCACTCATAGGTGTCTCTAGTAAGCCTCGTAGCAAACACACTCGGATACTCCGACTTTGCTGCCATCAAATCTCTGCGAACGCTCAGAGCGCTCAGGCCGCTGCGAGCGCTGTCCCGGTTTGAAGGCATGAGGGTAAGATATACTCGTCTCTCTGTCACATCTGTGAATGCTCCATTTCCAGAGGCCTTTTCTCTCTTTTTGTGCTCGGAGACAGGCAGTTTCACAAAATAAATAAATAAATAAAAATAGGGAATTTGCTGAGGACAGAAAAACAAATATTGAAACGACATTTTCAGAAGTTTCACAAGTCTTTTCTTAAACCAGCCTGAGGGGGTTTTAAGGTCAAACACTCTTAAAAATAAAGTTGATTTTACCATTTTTGGTTCCCCAAAGAAGCTTTCACCGATCATTTCTTAAAAGAACCATTTTTTCTTAGTGCCACGAACATTTTATTTCAGTTTTTCTCGATTGCCTAAACACATTTCTTGACAAATCCATTACGTCTCTCCCAGTTCCCTAAACATTTCAGGTCAAAATGAAGCTCTACACTCAACCTTGCCCTCAGACATCAGCCACAAGCCCTCACAACACACACACACACACACACAAACTACAACATAGTCTCACACACTGGTGCAATAAATCCATAATACTTCCAAAACTGGTAAGTTAAGTTGCTTGTGTTTCCCCAGTTTCAGGAACTCAAAAGACAACCAATGGATACATTTGCACATT